CCCTTGCGCGGAGAGAGGCTTCCCCACCACGCACAACATGATCTACTCGACCACCATTATGGTTACCGCCTAAAAAAAAACGGAGGTAAAATAAAAACGGTAACCTGGTTGCCGAGTTCACGAAGTGAATTGGCTTGTTTTACAACGTCGTTGCCAAGCGACGAAAACCCAATCCCGATGGCAAACACCGGGGGGTGGGGGGGGGTGGGGGGGGGGTACGGGGAACGAAGGGTCGACCGCACGGACCCAGTGGTCTGAGGTAGGCCTCGAATGGTCGAGTACCATCGGGGACTCATAGATGAACTTGATCATTACAGACACCGGCGTGCAGTTGCAGTGATATTAAGTCGCATTTCCCCGGCTGGGCAGCTGGCTTGTAAGTAGAGTGGGAGCGACTGTATTGAGGGGAACCAGTGGCGAGGCTTGGGTGTTCGCGTTAGCTTTCTCCACCTTTCCTCCTCTGTCTAGTCCATCCCCGGCGATCTAGAAACCGGTGACGGTGAAGAGATTCGAAAGAAATGAAGGGTGGCTTACTTTCACAGTTGCAATGTCCCAGGTGATCGTGTTGGCTCAAGCTGCGCGAGAACGGCGCCGCCCAATAATCATCCAGCATTCTTGTTGTTGTCCAATGGTATGGTGTAGTCGATTGTCGTGTACGAACCTCTCCCTGTCCTGGACATGAACGTGCTCTCTCATTAAAAATGTGGCACCTAGAGTACCTGCAGCCCGCCTGGCCCCCGCTCACTTGTATGTTTGGTACGACGTTGTTTAATTACAGCAATTAAATTGTTTGCCCAAGGAATCGAAAGAATCAGACACACTCTGACTATCTCCTTCCACAATACAAGTACCAGTAGAACAGGAAAATATAGTCTTCCACGTGCGTCGAACCGTGACCCTTTGCACCAACTACTAGCAGCTGGAGCAGCTACCGCCGCCACAAAGTGCCAAATGTGACATGCGAAAGACCTGAAACACCGCCAAAGCATGGAATGAGCAAGGACTTGAATTTCGTAGCACGGACGTCTTCCCGATGGGGGGATTTGTTTCCCGTGTGATGCACAACTGCATTCATACCCCTATAACTCACTTGCGACAGGCACGAGACAAAGTTGCCCACGCGCGTCGATTCATGAGTGTGCTCTCGCCTCAACAATATATTGACTAGCTGCGAGAGGTCACAGAGCTTCGAAATGTACATCAATCAAAAACAAAGTGTGCAACACCACAATACGCCAAAATGAAGCTAGCCTTATCGTTAACAACATCGGAAAATACGGTAGAACTTGTGTTTAAGAAAAAATGGCCTCGTTGCATGAGGCAAGCAGAGTATTGGGTGGGGACTACGTTCGACTACTGGAAGGCTCGACCATTCAATGGCGGTCCGTCATCGTCGAAGGGGTAGAAGGGCGCCTCGAAAGGGTCATCATCCGCCTCTCCGATCGGTCCCACGGGAGCCTCGTCGTATCTTGGAGCAGGCGTTCCAAAACAGAACCACACAAAGCACGAAAGATACAGCCACGTGATAAAGGGGTGCGTTGACATTGGAACACCCTAGCACGTCTCCATTTCCCCGTCGGGGGTAGATGGCAGATGATAACAAAGGTTTTGGTGAGGGTAGGTGATGGCCGGAGCGACGTCTAGTTGAACATCGAAAACTATAGTGCCGCATCGCGTGCTCTCTCCGAAAGCTGGTCAAGAACCCGGGTAGGTCATGCTCGAAGGTTGAAAGGGAGCCGCGCGTTTCCTTTCTTTCTCCCACCGAAAGACTCATTCAGGGTCCTCACGGTGCCAACCTTAACGCAGGCCAATGTGTTTCTACCATGGTTCGTTGCTTTTGGTTGTGACCACGTTTGTCTGGCCTCTGAAGAGTAGACAAAAAGAGGTACCGTACACAGGTCCGCGTCACGGCGACTCCAACACCAGCAGCAACAACATCAACATCAACAACACCAACAACAACAACAACAACAACAACAACAACAACAACAACAACAACAACAACAACAACAACAACAACAACAACAACAACAACAACAGCGGGTGTGTGTGTGATGTATCAGCTATCTCTCTCCCCGCGAACCTCTCATACCTGGTATCACCCCCCACCACGAAAGGGTTGTCGCTGCCCTCCGCGCCCCCCCCCCCGGCCTCGCCCTCGTCGCACATATCACCCGCCGCCGCCGCCGACGACGACGACGGTGGTTGGCTCTCAACCTTCGCCGGCGGCGTCGTTTGTCCCGGCCCTGAGCCCTCCCCCGTTCTCGCCGACGGTGCAGGTTTTCTCTCTCCTCCGAAGGCCCGACCTCTTGCCGCTTTCGCTTTCGGCGATTCCGGTGGCGCGACAAACTCCGCCACTCCCGCCCCGTCTCCGGCCAGCTTGTCCCGCACGTATCTCCTTGCGCGGGCCTCCGCCTCCTGCATGGTCTCCCGCCCCCCTTCCCCCGCTGAGACACGGAGCCTCCCGAGGACATTGTCGGCGTCACTCGCGCCGGAGGTTGTAGGCGACCGCCGCGACCACGGCAAGGCTCCGCCGGCCGCCTTGTCCTTACCGGGCGTTCCTGCGCCCCTCGCAGAGGGGGCGTCCGTCGCTCGTTGCTCCGGTGGTTCAGCAACAGTGGCTATGACGCCTGTTGTTGTTGTTGCTGCCGGTGATGAACGCCCCAGTTCCTCCGCCGGTTGCCTGTTTTCGGCGCGGGAAGACGTGTGTTTTTTGGCGAACGGATGGGGGCCCGGCAGACTGACATGATGCCTCGACAGAACACCGCGATATATACAATATATATTTTTTTCTAGCAAATTTGCAACCGAGTTGTACCGGCGGGCAACGCTAGGGCACCGATTTCCTTGGTGTGTATTAAACATCGAACGTGCACCGGAACTCTCCAGGCATGCGAAAAGACGCCCCCTCATGGTCCATGCGTTACATTCACGTTCTCAGTCGCCGCAAGAAGGTCTATCGATGTGATCAGCCAGCGATCCAGCAACCGTCAATCAGCTCAAGCTCTTTTCTCCGCGTGTGGCGTACAACAAAACATTGTACCGGCCACAAACCTATCTCTCTATCTCACCGTGGTGCTACCGCGACCGACGAGAATGGATCACCACCCCCGCCGCTGCCTCCGCCGTCACCCTCGGACGAGATTCCGCCAGTTGTTTGTGGATAGCTTTCGCCGGGAAGGTGTCCTCCCGGACCCGGTACGCCTTCGTTGGGGTTTCCGCGCTTTTCACCGCCGCGTCGCCCGGGCACCAAGGATAAAAGCGGGGTCCCGAGCTTATTCTTCTTCTCCTTCTTCTTCTCGGTGGTGTCCTTGACGGGTTCGATGTACCTTTTTCGGGCACGCAAGCAAAAGGTAGGCCCGGACGGTGCAAAGCAGAGAAAAAATATGCCTAGAGATGACACTGAATGAGCCGCGGGGGGTTCCCTTTGAGCGGTACTGCACACACTACGCAGACATTCTCATAGATTTCTTGGCTTGTTGAGCACAGAGCGTTTTGCACTGGGACACGAGGAACAACAGTATACGGACTATTTATACTTCATTGTTCGTAATGATTCAGGCATCATGCACTGCCGTAAGCTCTGAGATGACCCGCGGGTGGGGCATGTGCTCTTGTTTTCCATGCCGTACTCGTTAGACCATTCACCACGCGTCCTCGAGAGGACGGAGCGTTGTTCCGACAGGATCGATCACCGGTGGCCAACCGTTCCTTCTTACTTTGCCAAATATGACCCAAGGATGGGGGGAATGCCTCCAAAGACGGGGACTACTGCGGTGGTTTTCGACATTCACGGTGCCCCTGTATAGGGGTACGGAACTCATCGTTATCCCAGGTTTCTTGCCCCCCCCAGATTTTGTCGGTATGTCGGACACCCCTGAGGGACTGCAACTGCAAATTGACGCGGCGAAGAAGTTTACTGATAAGTGGAGATTGTCTGCCAACGTTAAGAAGAGTGCCGTCATGGTATGCAACGAGAACAAGGAGGAACCAGTAGAACATAGATGGAAGTGGGGGATCGAGGAGATTGCAGTAGTGGACCAGTACACATACCTCGGAGTAGAGATCGCAAAAGACTGCTCGTGGAATGCACACATGTCCAAGGAAGAGGAAAAGGGCAAAGCACGAGCAGGGCAGCTGCACCCAATACTCGCAAACCGGCACCTCGATACACGCATCAAATTGACGGTTTTGAAGAGCGTAATCGTACCGCCGCTAGAGTACGCCGGAGAAGTATGGGAAGGAAATAAGAAGGTAGTGAAAGAACTCGAGGCGGCGCAGATGAAAGCAGCGAAAATCATCCTAGGATGCTCCAAGCGCACAAGTATTGCAGTCGTCAGGTCGGAATTGGGGATCCAATCCCTACGGTCGGGAAGAGACGCAAGGAAGCTG